CGCTGTGCGGTCCACAGGCTGTCAGTGGGTACGACTTCCCATCGTAAAGTCACTGAAAACGCTGAGGTGTGGGCCCGGGCTTGGCCTCTGCTTTACTACAGTTGAGATACACAGTAAGCGGCTGCACTGGAAGGCACAGCGTGAGGCACCGTTTCGTGTGTGATAAGTGCAGGTACCATTAGCCCCATCAAGACAGGCACCCAGCACCTCAGGAAGCACCCCAAGCCCTCCAGTCAGCTGCCCCCCGGCCCCGAGGCCACCACCATCCCATTTCTGTGCAGCCCGTCTTCCAGCAGACCAGCTGGCCCTCGGTGCCCGTCAGGGCTGTCGTCCCAGTGGGGTCACGGGATCCCATTTATCCTCACGTGGCCGCTGCTGCCTCAGCCCCAGGTTCCGGTCTCCGAGTTGCCTTCTGGGCCTCAGGAGATTCAGTCTTGGGATTTTATTGCCACATTATCCTTGGCCCCTCAGGAGGGTGTCGGTGGAATGAAAGGGACACTGACCGGCATCCCCTGTGGCTACACGTTCTGTGAGCGGCGCCCCGAGTTCCAGAGCGGTCAGTGTCATAACACCCCAAAGGGCCCGAAGGGGAAGGGCCCGGGCGTGCTGGCTGCTCCATCCTTGTGCTCCGGGCCTGATCGCCTTCAAAGTCCACACCCAGGAGATGACACCATCTCCCTCATGTCTTCCTGATAAAATACAAAGCCCATTGCTTTGCAGTTCAAGTTACGCTTTTGCTTAGCAAAGCCACTGGAAGGAGACTTCTTCAAGGCATGGACACAGCATTGCGCTGGTGGGACAGTGGCGCCCCCAATATCTCACTGCAATCCCAGCTGACGTGGCCGACTCAGTGTCGTTCCCTGGGCAGTTCTGGATGCCATGCTGAGATTTCTGAGGCTGGGAGCCGGCGCCCCCAATATCTTACTGCAATCCCAGCTGACGTGGCCGCCTCATCGACTCAGTGTCGTTTCCTGGACGGTTCTGGATGCCATGCTGAGATTTCTGAGGCTGGGAGCCCTGGGAGGCCTGCTTTCTGTTAGTAACAGGAAGGTAAACGGCAAAGATTGCTTGTTTCTATCCTGTGATTTAATGTTTCATTTCCAGACACTCCCTTAAAAAAGAAAAGGTGCCCTGGCCGGTGGGTCAGTGGTTAGAGCGGCGGCCTGTGCCCTGAAGGGTCTCAGGTTCAATTCCCAGTCAAGGACTCAAGGACGCATCCCTGGGTTGCAGGTTCAATCCCCTGCCCTGGTCGGGTTACATGTGGGAGGCAACCACTCCCTGTGTCTCTCTCACATCGAGGTTCTCTCTCTTTCTCATCCCCCTCCCTCCTTCCCTTCCACTCTCTCTAAAAAAAATTCAATGGGAAAAATAACCCCCGGGTGAGGATTCTTTTAAAAGGAGGGTGGGGAGGCGGGAGGAGAACTGTGCTGGGAGTGAGTGCGCAGGGCCTGCCGGCTCCGCTCAGAGGGGCTAGTCCGGAGCCAGCACAAACTCCCACAGCAGTGGGAGGCGCCTCTGCCACGGGGCTTGTTGGCAGCAAAAGGCCCCATTGATTCAAGGATCGTAAGCATACTGAACGTTTAGGGAGGTTGGAGGCGAGAGAGAGAAGCCGTGGGTGGGGTGTGGCTGCCAGGAGTCTCCATCCCTCCACCCAGGTTGGCCTGTGGGAAGACCTCCCCCGGTTTACGGGTGCCGTCAGCGCCTGCTGAACTTCACCCGGACGTGGGCTGTGGCCCAGACCGTGTGTCTCACGGGGCCCCTGGGCTCCCTGACCCCTGGTGGCCACACACTGATTTGACAAGCAAAATGTGTATCTTTCTTTTATTCTTCTGGTCAAATGTTATGCAGATACATCCAGTTTTGATTTTAATATGAGATTAAAGACTGCTTAATAGGGTCCTACCGCTGTGGTAAGGTTTGCTGAAGTTGGTTAGCCAGAGCTAAAAGGTAGACGTTACTAGAGGTTTTGTGAGCTCCTAGGACCCTGCTAAGGATTTGCGCTTTCATGCAGAGCTCCTGGCGCGTCGGCGTGTGGGCGGGAGGTGGGTTTCCACGCTCTTCTGGAGGCGTCTTCGTTGCTAGTGGGACAGAGTGTGTTGCTGCCGTTTGTTCTGTTATTTCATCATCGTCACACACAGAAGGAATAGAGGAGCAGCAAAGAAACTTTGGCCCATGAGTTCCTAACAATGAGACTAAGTCTTTCAATGTTTCGACTGAACCAGGAGACATCCATACCGCTGTGGCCACGGCGGGCGCAGGCATCATCCAACATGAGTACCAGGACTCAGAGCACACCAGCAGCAGGCAGCGGCGCGTACCCGGGGCAAGCGGGACGTAGGGGTCATTTGAGAAGCACGTCTCTCCCCTTATAGACACACCTGGTCTGCCCAGCTCCTCTGAGCCGGCGTGGAGGCTGGCAGCGGGGAGGGAGGGCAGTGACCTTCAGATGATGCAGGTGGAGGGTAGCCTGAAGTACCAGGAGCTGAGGAAGTGGCTTGAAATGGAATAGATGCAGCCCCGGGGCTGACTGTACCCTGAACTAGTCCAGAGATGAAAGCTACTTGGAAATGTGGTCGGATCCGGGGACCTGCTTGGCCGGGCAGCCAGCCCGTGGCGGTCGGCAGGGGTGAGGTTAACACGGCCTCCGCGTGCTCCTGTGGGCCCACACCTCCACTGGCTGCTCAGCGTACAGGCAGGCAGTGTCTGTGGACAGTGGCCGAGGGAAGAGCGTGAGGACGGCTCTGCTGCGCCCCGGCCCGGACCTCGTCTCCCGTGCTCTGAGCACCGCTCCACGTCCTCAGCCCCCGCTACTGCTGGGCTCCCCCATTCCTCCCGGGGTCACAGCCCTACGTGGATCGGGCCTCTGTCCCATCCCTGTGCTGACTGCTGCCGTTCACTCGTTCACTCCGGGCAACTGTGGAGGAGGGGACGTGGCTGGGTTGGGCTGGCCAAAGAGGCCCCTTCCCAGAGCTGCTGCTGTTGGAGGTGCACCCTGAGTTTGAGCTCAGAATGTTCTGGAAACACTACTCCCACTGTGGTCAGACCTGCTGGGAAAGCAGGGCGGAGCTCAGGGAACTGGGCTTGTTTGTGGGGGTCCTTGCCCTCACAGTCAGACTCCCAACCGCGGCAGCGCAGTGGGACAGACACAGGCCTGCTTTGTAATCCTTCACACCATTTCCTAAGCGCCTTACGCAGCCAGCAGGAATGGCCCGCAGGTGCTTGTCCCAGCGAGCTGCTCTGGAGATGGAACCGGAGCCGAAGGTCAGGCGGCCCGCGGGCCCTGGGGCCACGCACTGATTCATGCTCCTGGTGCGATCCCTGCCCTATCCGTCTGACGCCCCATCCGTCTGACACCCTATCCTGACGATCCGAGGAGGCAGGGCTGATGGAGGGAGTGGACTTCACAGGAAGAAACATTAACACCCCTAAGTATTCACAGGGGTTCGTGGAATGATTTCCCCAGGAAATCTATCCACTGAGAGAAGGGAGCTCCTTCCTGTCCATC